CGCTGCCCTGGAGCTGCAGCCCGTGCTCAGGTCTCCAGCAGCACGTGCTGATCTCTGCCCACAGCGGGCTCAGGCAGGGTGGGCGACACCCCCAACGTCTTGGCAAGACAGGCCCTGAGGAGCTCCTGGGCTGCAGCTTTGCCCTTGGCAGCAGTTTCAGCCTCCTCCCTACCCCAAGGAGTGTATCAGGGAAACGGCCTCAACTTTGGTGCTGACGCTCTGATCTGCTTTTGTTTTCCAGAGAGGCTAAAGGAAGCACTGTGTAAGTCTCACTGCCCGTCTCCTCGGGGAAATCCCCTCTGAAAACTTCCAGACCTTTTCATTCATTCTCTCAGTCTGTCCAAATGTTCTTTCTGGGCAGAGATTTTCCTTCCTCCTTCCCTGACCCCATAATCATGTGAAAATTCACCTGAACAGTCCTTAGGATTTTTCTCCTGAGTGGTTGTCGATGCTTTCTGACACCCCCTTTAATGTAAGTAGTGCAAGACTTCTGAACAGTTCTTGTTCTTTAGAGGGAAATTACAGAAACCTGAGCTGTTGGGAAATTACTCCTAAAATTGTTGTTTCCTTCATTACTAAGAATTCCTGAAAAACCAAACTTGCTTCCAGAGGTCATGTCTTTTTGTTGGCTTGTTTGTTTGTTGCTTGTAGAATTGCCAATAAATAGTCCTTTGGCTATTCAACATAACCTCATGCAAAAACGGTGCCACTGAAGGGGGTAAAATGATGGGGAAATGAAATACAGATCTCCTATCCCTGCAATCAGAGCAGAACCAGAGCATCTCCCCCTTCCATCTCATTCTTTCCTTATCTGTGTGGTCCTTCAGCCGGGGGGGGGGTCCCAGGGAAGGGACTGTGCCACATAATAACTCGTTTGTGTTTGTGTTTGTTGATCAGGGGACAGCAATGAAAAAATCGGTGAGTGTCCTACTCTTCCTTACAAAGAATTATTTACAGAGTCTGTGTCGGGTGGGGGGTTCTTTGGGCTTTTTTCAGTCCTAAGGTATGAAGTGAAGCAAAAAGTGTTTGAGGCCTTGGGGAAGGAGAGAGTGAATGTGAGAATCAAAAATTCAAGGTCTCTGACAATGGTGCCTGGGGATGGGAAGGGGCGGTGGCAGCAGCAGAACTGGTAGGGTGGGAGAGCCCTGGTCCCCTTGGAGATGAGGGAGCTCCCCGAGATCATTTCCTGCCCCCATTGGAGCAGGACAAGCTGCAGCATGGCCGGGGGAGCAGAGCTCCAAGCTGGGGGTGGCACAGGGCTTTGCACTGCTCAGCCTGGGCACAAACCCGCCCTGCAGCACCTGCAGGCAGGTACAGGAGAGGGCAGACAGGCCATGTCCAAATCCATGGCCCACAACAAATTTGTGATGGTTTCTCTTTCTTTTCAGAGGAACAAGCCAAGGAACTTGGTGAGTATCATTCTCTTCTCTTTGTGGGACTCTTCTCAGTTGGGCATCCTTTCTCCCCCAAGTTTTTCATGTTTGTTGTCAGGGAACTTAAAAACCCAGGGCCTTGACTTCTGTCAAGGAAAGAAAGCTTTCTTCTCCAACAAGAAGGCAAGGAAGCAATTTGGCCTTAAAGCAGCATCAGCTGCTCCTCTCCCAGCACAGCAATGGAGCAATAATTTGCCTTGAGCTGCAGAGAATCCCTGGCAGTTTGGGGGGCCTGGCAGGGCCTCCTTTCCTTTTAAAGCTGCAGGAAGCTTTGGGGTAGCACATTCCATTGTGCAGGGGCCTGAGCTTTTCTGAGCACTGCAGAGCACAGGCACAGGGCCCTTAGGTAGCACTGCAGGGGACATTTCAGCCCCTGCTCCTCCCTTGTGGCTGCAAAGCTGCCCCTTCCCCGCTGCCCTGGAGCTGCAGCCCGTGCTCAGGTCTCCAGC